CAGTTGTTTACCTCTCTTCCTGTGTGTGTTTTGTGTAACAGTTGTTTACCTCTCTTCCTGTGTGTGTCTTTGCAGCAGTTGTTTAGCTCTCTTCCTGTGTGTGTTTTGTTTTACAGTTGTGTATCTCTCTTCCTGTGTGTGTTTTGTTTTACAGTTGTGTATCTCTCTTCCTGTGTGTGTTTTGTGTAACAGTTGTTTACCTCTCTTCCTGTGTGTGTCTTTGCAGCAGTTGTGTATCTCTCTTCCTGTATGTGTTTTGTTTTACAGTTGTGTATCTCTCTTCCTGTGTGTGTTTTGTGTAACAGTTGTGTATCTCTCTTCCTGTATGTGTTTTGTTTTACAGTTGTGTATCTCTCTTCCTGTGTGTGTTTTGTGTAACAGTTGTTTACCTCTCTTCCTGTGTGTGTCTGTGCAGCAGGTAGTAAAGGTGAACCTCACAGGAAGGGCTCTGTGGTGAACGTGAACCCCACCAACATTCGACCACACAGCGACTCTCCAGAGATCAGGAAGTACAAGAAGAAGTTCACCGCAGAGGTTCTGTGTGCTGGCCTCTGGGGTTGGTAGTTCCTGGTTTTGTGTTACTGTGTGTGTTAGGCTCCAGTGGACACACACCTGATGATGTGTTGTGTTGTGCAGGTGTGAACCTGTTGGTGGGCACAGAAAGTGGCCTGTGGCTGCTGGACAGAAGTGGACAGGGGAAGGTCTACTCTCTGATCAGCAGACGAAGGTTTCAGCAGATGGATGTTCTGGAGGGACTCAACGTCCTGATTACCATCTCAGGTTGGTCGTTGTGTGATGAATGAACGTCCAGAYGTTCCAGCAGTGAGGTCAGCTGGATTCATGGGCTGTGATTGTCCTCCTGCAGGTAAAAAGAACAAGCTGCGTCTGTACTACCTGTCCTGGTTGAGGAATAAGGTTCTGCATAACGACCCAGAAGTGGAGAAGAGGCAGGGCTGGACCTCAGTGGGGGACTTGGAGGGGTGTGGACACTATAAAGTGGGTGAGTGAACGCTGCAGAAACTGTGTTGACTGCTCCTATTTTTACTTTTATTCTCTTCATAGTTGTAAAATCATAAATGAGAAGAAATAAAAGCAGTTATTAGAAGGTGCTGAAGCGTCCTGCCTCTAACAGCTCTGTGTCTTGTTTCAGTGCGATATGACAAGATTAAGTTCTTGGTGATTGCTTTAAAGAATGCTGTGGAGGTCTACGCCTGGGCCCCCAAGCCCTACCACAAATTCATGGCCTTCAAGGTGGGTCTCATTTAGACACAATAAGAAATGGAGCTTCAGTGTTTGGTTACCTGAGTTTGACAAACCTCAGAGCTTCGTCAGGTACATCTGACTCTGAAACAACACATCTGGACCTGAAGCTGGTTTATACATCCATTCTTACGTCTTACAGCTGTGTGTGACAGAAACTACACAACTCTGTCTTGCGGACTTAACAGACACACACACACACACACTTCTGACCAATCACTACAAATAGTGATTGGTCAGAAGTGTGTGTGTGTGTGTGTTGGTTTGTGCAGAAAAGCAGGTCTTTCTCCATGTCCTGCAGCTGTCTCCCAGAAACCTGTTGTTAAATAATGAAGAACACAAGCCTTTCTTCAAACATCTGATAAACATCTGTCACTGTTGTTGTTTTTAACCTTAGCCATGTGCAACGTGCTGTGGGAGGGATTATAGTTAACCCCCGCTTCTTCTACGCTTAGATGAACACTAAGAAAAAGACTTGGTCACTGATCCGTTGTCTCTTGCTTTGTGGAAGTTTAAACCAGGCTTTAGACAACTTCTGTGTCCTGACTGACTTCTGCAGGGACCAGGGTGAGGAGGGGGTTGTAGTCAGCCCAGAGGATCAGTGGTGGACATGCAGATGTAAAAAAGTCATTTATGGTGATGCGGCTCAATAATCAGATGAAGGCTTTAAAGGGAACTTTGTATAGTTTTATTTTGATTTGTTGTAAATAATATATTTCAAAAACCTTCATCCTTTTTGTCTGTGCTCACTTTCTGTATTTAAACATTGTCACTTTTTATTTAAAGTTGACAGTGTTTGTATTTGTATTTTTTATACCTTACATGTCCTGGTGTGACAGGTTAAAACTTAACACAACTCTAAACCATATATTAAATCCAACAGAAAACTCAAGCTGGTTAAATATCATCCTACATGTCAGGAGGGATACCTGACCGGCACCAACTCAATTATTCAAGTCAATAGTATTAAAACAAACTAGACACCACATAGTGGTAACATAATGACCCACACACACAGATGCACCAGAACTCAGAAG